TGTTTGACGTTCCTCACAGAACCCAACAACTGGTATCAGAGCCCAGGTTTAGTTCAACCTCATGCACATTTTTGAATTTTGGACTTTGCCTGTCTACATGAATTATGTGCTTACAGACGAAGCGACATAGTAGATTATAAATTGCATTTAGTTTTTGCAGTTATTTCGAATTCGATTATTGTGGCCCGTATGTATGGATTTTAATTCATGTTCAATCTATGCTTTTTTTAAAGCCTTGGACATGTCAAAGTATTTTTGGGTTGGTGAATGCTTGTAATAAATTATTCACGCGGTGGGACACCGCATAGTTTGTTACTTTCATAGAAACTCATGTACGGCTCTTGCGTGGGTCATAGAATGAATTATGTAATTGTTTTGTATTATTCATTATTGATCTGGCAGGCATGGACCAACCTTGACGGGGCGATGCGATAAACACGTACACGGATGCCATGGTGATGATCCAATGGCGACTTTCCCGGAGACAACCAATTCAGTGGGAGTCACTGCGAAAGGGGAGTTCCAATACCTGAATCGGAGGACACACTAAACAAGGACAGGACTGTGTTTTCTCCGTAACATTGGAGATTGATTAGTGGCCATGATAGTTGGATTATAGTTCCTAGTTTATTATTGCTCATTAATCATGCATGTTTAAGTGGTTGCTTATGTGCAAAAACAAACATGTTTTAGAAAATCCCATAAAATAAAAATTATATTAAGTATGTAATGGGTTGAAATAAATTACATCTAAGGCCTCCATTATAGGTTTGTCAGTGAAGTGATTTAATTCGAGCCCAAAGGACGTTTTATTTCACAGTTCACAAGGTCGAATCTCCTTCGAGATGGTTATAGTGAGCTATTTCAAAAGCGTACGAGTCACCAAAGGTGGACGTATAATTTTCGTAGTAAACTTAGTACCAATTAATGGGTTACACTTAAATTGCAAATAATTATGACAGTCCCAAAGGATAAGGTCATTTTTATTCTTTTATAAGTTAATTGCGTTGGCCAAAAGATGAAACCGACTATTAGGTAAGTATTGCTCGGCAGTATGTTAAGCTAATGGGATTTATCCCTCCTCTTGCGAATGTTTGAACCGTAGATGTCCACACTCTGTGGTCTGCGGGGATTCGGTGTTTTGAGGTGTTGGTGAATTTATTTGAATATTGTTACATGGGATCCATATTTGATGTTTAAATTCATAACGGCTTTACTGAGTAAAGACTATGTTTGCCTGATCCCAGAAATTCAAAATGTCTTTCAATCTGTTGTCCGTAATTCTCAAAGAAAACAAACTTGTTGGTCCAAATTATATTGACTGGAAAAGGAACTTGGATATTGTGTTAACTGCTGAACGGTACAAATTTCCTACTGTTGAGGCTTGTCCGGCTGTGCCTGCTGACAATGCACCAGACCAAGAGAAAGAGGAGTATGCTCGGTGGAAAAAGGCTGATGAGATGGCGAAGTGTTACATCTTCGCATCTTTGTCAAATGTACTTCAACATCAACATCAGTCTATGAACACTGCAGCAGAGATGCTTCTCAGTCTCAAGGAGTTATTTCGTCATCAGTCGCGGGCTGCCCGACAAGAAGCCATGAGAGTTCTGATGAACATGACCATGCACGAGGGCACTCCTGTAAGGGAACATGTTCTTGCTATGATGGCCCAACTGAATGAGCTGGAGGTTCTTGGGGCTTTTATTGACGGGAAAACCCAGGTCAATATAGTGCTCCAGTCTTTGCCGAAGAGCTTCGAGCAATTCCGGTTGAATTACAACATGAATAAGATGTTGTTGACTCTTCCGGAACTTGTTGCTGAACTTCAGTCGGCAGAGGGCCTGTTTCGTCAGAAGACCCAAGCTATGGTGGCCCAGCGGGGAGAAGCTTCTACTTCTAAGGCTCCTAAGGGCAAGAAAAGGAAGAAGTCCGCAGGAAAGGGCAAGGCGGTCGTGAATGACGCGCAACCTCGACAAAAAGCGAAGAAGCCGAAAGGCAAGTGCCACAATTGCCAGCAGAAAGGACACTGGAAGGCAAATTGCCCTCTCCCCAATAAGTCCGACAATGGTACACCTTTTGCTTTAGTCGTAGAAACATGTTTAGCGGTGTTATCTATCAGTACCTGGTGTGTAGATACAGGAGCCACTGATCATGTCTGCAATTCATTGCAGGGGTTCCAGGAAACCAAGCGACTTAGGGAAGGAGAAGTTACCATCTACTAGGGCGATGCTAGTAGAGCGTCAGCAGTTGCAGTGAGAGACGTCTATTTAGATTTTGGCTTAGATAGGTTTCTAGTTTTGAAAGATTGTCTTTATGTTCCTTATTTTAGAAAGAATTTGATTTCAGTTTCTAAGTTGTTTATGAACGGTTTTTCCGCTACTTTTGATAATAAAGTTGTTATTCGTTTTGGCAAAAAGTTCATATGTTCTGGTCATTAGTTGACAATCTATACATTCTAGAATCTAAGTCATCTCCACTGCAACAGAAACAATTACTTATTTCATCATCTAATCTAAATAAGAGCAAGGAACCTTCTAAAATGAATGAAACAAATCTTTGGCATCTAAGACTTGGTCATATTAACCTTAGGAGGTTTCAAAGGTTGGTAGCAGACGAGCCCTTGGGGTCGTTAGAAGTCGAGGCTTTTCCAACTTGTAAGTCTTTCCTGGAAGGCAAAATGACTAAGAGGGTTTTTAGTTCAAAGGGGCATAGAGCCGAAGATGTGTTAGGGCTAGTTCATTCTGATCTATGTGGTCCTATGAGTGTTCACGCGAGAGGTGGTTTCGAGTACTTTGTTACGTTTATCGATGATTACTCGAGATATGGGTACATTTTCCTTCTGCACCGTAAGTCTGAATGCTTTGAGAAGTTCTTAGAGTATAAGGCAGTTGTGGAGAAGAAGTTAGGAAAAAGTATCAAGTCATTACGATCAGATTGTGGTGGCAAATATCTCTCGAATGAATTTAGGAG